CTTAAAGGACCTTGGTCATGAGAGTTGTCAGCTGAGGCCAGGAGAGCTCCCTGGTATGCTTCTGAAAGTGGGGAGCTCAGCCAAGGCTGGTGAGGGGTGTAGAAGCCCCACCCTCAACCACAAAGCAGCTCTCCACAAACAGGGATGCACTGAGAACCCAGAGGGGACCCTCATTGCCTTCAGCTTTAACTGTCAGAACCTCCGGGTCTGAAGAAAGTAAATGGAGCATGGAGAGTGAAACGTTCCACGAAAAACCCTCCCTACTAGGGGGCTGGAACTGGAGGTGGAAAACAGGATGCAAATAAGCAAAACATTAAACCTTTATTCATTTACTTGAGAGAGAGGAGAGAGATCTCTCCTCCACGGCTTCACTTCCTTTATGCCTGCGACAGATGAGCATGGGCCAGGCCAAAGCTAGAACCCAGGTGTCTCGTGTGGGTGGCAGAGACACAGCTGCTTGAGGCAACACTGCTGCCTCCCAGGATGTACACTGGCAGACAGAGTCAGAAGCAGGTTCCAAGCCCAGGGTGTGCAACGGGGGTCTCCACTGCTGTGTGCAATGCCTCCCCCAAGAGGGGGAAATGCTGCTTCAAGATTAAGATGAACTCTTTGATCACTGGAAATGGAACTGGTTTTTAGATCTGAATGTTGATCAAATACAGTAAAATCTTTCCAAAAATATGTTCCTGAAAGGAAAAGGGAGCTCCAACAGATACGGGAAGAACAGAATTATTTTCTGATTGCAGTTTCTAGAATGAATTAAGGGTCATCCCTGAAGCCAGAAGCAGGCCCTGGTCCTTCCCAGATGTTAGCACATAGAGAACCACGGGTTTGCCCTGTAATCCCAAGACACAATCCCAAATGCCTTGAGATAAAATGCCTAAACTTTCCAAGATCCAGGTCCCTAATTGTGAAATTCCAAAAGATCAGAATCTCAAAAGTAGCATCACCTAAAGAGCCAGGATCTGGAGAAAGTTTGTCTTTCGTAGAGGCAGGTGCACAGCGAGACGTCTTTTCACACACTGAGGAAGCTGTGGTGCTACACACACACGCAGTCCTTCCTTACCTACAGTGCCATCGCTGTGACCATGCACCTTTGCAGAGTCAAATACGCAAAAGCCACATGAAACGAACTAGAACCCTGAATGTTTCTGCACAATTTATACTTCCAGCACATCAGATATCAAATTGTAAAATTTAAAATGCTGATATTTTTAAAAATATTTATTCATTTGAAAAAGTTAGAGAGATTTTCTGTCTACTGGTTTATTATCCAAATGGCAGCAACAGCCAGAGCTCTTCCAGTCTGAAGCCAGTAGCCCAGAACTCTATCAGATGTTCCTACGTGTGTGGCAGTCGGAAACACTTGGGCCATCCTCTGCTGCTTTGCAAGGTGCACCAGCAGGGAGCTGGATCAGAGGCAGAATAACTCTACCCAGAGCTCACACAGGATGCCAGCTTCACAGGTGACAGCTTAACTCAATTCACCATCGAGCTAGCCTTTGCTGGCAATTTTAAGTAGTAAAAAATATGGTCTGGCATTGTTGTGTAGCATATTAAGCCACTGCTTGCAAATGCCAGCTTTTCACACTGGTTCAAGTCTCAGCTGCTCCACTTCTGATCCAGCTAACAGCTAATGGCTTTGAGAAAGCAGCAGCAGATGACCCAACTGCTTAGGAAACTCCACCCACATGAGAGAAAGAGAGACCTACATGAAGCTCCTGGCTCCTCTTTCAGACCAACCAAGCTCCAGCCACTGCAGCCATTTGGGGGCGGGGGGGCGGAGCGTGAATCAGCAAATGGAAGATCTCTCTCTGTCTCTCCTTCTCTCTGTATATTCTGATTTTCAAATAAATAAAATATTTCTTAAAGTTGCAAATGAACAAAGGAAGTTTTTAAAAATTCAACATTTACAAGAATGTACAGAAACAGATTACGGGCAATTGTTTGGAAGCAATCCACATCTTGTTGACTTCTGTGCCTGGCTGCTGCATTTTGAAGCCTTGGGTCAAAAGAAGTAGCTGCTTTCTTTCTCCTATTAGGGTCTCACTCTCCTCAATGAGCGTGTGCTCACATTCATGTTCTATACAACGCTGTTTTGTTTCTTTTTTTTTTTTTTTCAAAAAAAGGATTCATTTATTTTTACTGGAACAGCAGATTAGATTTACAGAGAAACAAAGATCTTCCTTCACTGGTTCACTCCCCAAGTGATCACAATGGTTGTAGCCAAGCTGATCCAAAGCCAGGAGCCAGGAGCTTCTTCTGGGTCTCCCACACGGGTGCAGGGTTCCAAGGCTTTGGGGACATCCTCTGCTGCTTTCCCAGGCCACAAGCAGAAAGCTGGATGGGAAGTGGAGCAGCCAGGACATGAACTGGTATTGATGTGGGATCCTGGTGCTTGGAGCAGAGGATTAGCCAACTAAGTCATCACACTGCACACATGTGCAAGAAGCTGTTTTGGAGGTGGAAGAATACTGTGACGTGGGATGTAGGTGGCCCCAGTGGCATCTTTGCTGTTGCACCAAACATCCACTCCAAATAATGTATTTTTAAACTGAAGTTTCCATCCCTGCTGAATCATTTGGCCAATCTACTCATCTGGATTTTCTGCCAAACACATCAGGCTAAGTGGAAAAAAATCAAGCCTAATTGGCAACACTTTGAAATTCACTTTTAGAAGCCTTAATCACAGCTAATTCTAAATCTGCCATTATAGTTTGGGATGCGAATGAAATGCATTTTCTTTTACAAAGCCCACCAAATCTTCGAGTGTTTACAAGGAACTTCCCATCCTCCAGTCACAAACAAGCAGGTAGACTCTCGGACTTCCAGTTGCAATGGGATTCCACGTATTTGATTTAAAACAAAAACAATAGCAATAGTTATGAGTCTCGTTCAGTAGCAAAAGTGAAGTGTGCAGTTTATCTGTCAGATTTGCCAGCCAATAGGAGAAAGCTTAAATTGCAGACACTTGAACCCCAACCCAGACTAGCTCATCCTCCAGTGGGTTAACACTGGAGGAAATTCCGAATGTCACTGAGCTTGTTGATTCTTTCTTCGTTCTCTGACAGTTTTTTTAAAAGGCAAGTATTTTTTAAAAAAAAAAGAACTTACATGAATACCATGTCAATTAACTCCATGATGTTGTAAATTATTGTTGACGTTATGTTGTGGCTTTTCATTGGAGGGGATGATATTCTGCCAGCTCTACTTTCAGACCAGGGATGGTCTCGCAAGGAAACTATTGAATTCATTTGGACAATAAGAGGCTAGACTCTATGCATGGTGCATGCTCGCAATGAAGGAAGCATGACTGGATATGAACTGTACTGCTGCAACAATGTGGAGGAATCCAACATGGGGGGGGGGGGGCATGGGAAGGAGTTGGGGAAATCCCAGAGTCTATGAAACTGTGTCATAAAATGAAATTTAAAAAAGGCAAGTCTGGCACTATGTGTGAAGGGACACAACTGGTGCGACATGTAACAGTTTGGCAACTATCCTACACATAACTAAAAACATAAAAACATACTAACTCCTTTCTGTATGTGGTGTGTGTGTGTGTGTGTGTGTCGTGTGTGTGTTTGTATATCAGCTTAAAAAGAGAAAAACAGAGAGGAAGGGAGGTTGCAGCCAGGCTTACAGGTGCCTTGTAAGTAAGCTAAGGATTCAGACCTCAGTTTGGGCAAGAGATAACCATCCAAAGCTGTTAAACAGGGAGGTAGGTGGCATGAACTGAGCTGTTCTGGGAAGACAAGGCATGGAAGTGAGGAAGATAGCCCAGAAGACATAGCTGCACAGACAGGCCCATCTCCCCGACCTTGCACCAGCTCTTATATGGCATCCAGTGTTCCAACCAGGGCCCTTTCACAGCCACACTTGTATCTTTCAACATCACTGTGGCCCCAGTGTGAGCAGGAAACCAGGGAAGCCAGGGGACACGGATGAGGGGCAGGTCAGCAGAGCAACAGGATGAAGAGGAGGAAGGGAAAGCCAAGAGAAAGGCTTCAGAGGTGAGACCACCGGGGTGAGGATGGGGACATTCTGGGAACGACTCTCACTTCTGTTGATGACCACATCCTTCCCCGACTGAATGGCCACTCCCTGGCTGCGAGGCTATCTGCCAGCATTCCCCCACAGAAAGTCTCACAAGGCACCAGGAACAAGTTTCTAGCTTGGATGAGAGCAGAGCTCAGACTCCTAAAGGGCTGGCACAGGGGAACAGCAGTGCTGCTGAAGGGACCCAGTGAAGGCAAGTACTGAAACCACATGAGGCTACCGTCCTTGTACCACAAAAAGCTGCAAAGTGTCACAGGTGAACTTCAGAGCCAGTTGCTCTAGCCAGGTCGGTGGGCAATCATGCTCCCTACTCAAGGCCAGCACCAACTCATGAATCAGTGACTGCTATATCCTGGGCTGGAGACTGGCCAGGCCCCCTCTTTCCACAGAGCACGCCCCCTTGGCCCCTCATCGCTCACCCCTCTCTCCATAGCGCATGCCCCCTCAGTCCCTCGGAGCTCACCCCTTCTCCACAGCGCATGCCCCCTCAGTCCCTCAGAGCTCACCCCTCTCTCAACAGCACACACCCCCTCGGCCCCTCGGAGCTCACCCTTCTCTCCAGGGCGCATGCCCCCTCAGTCCCTCGGAGCTCACCCCTTCTCCACAGTGCATGCCCCCTCGGCCCCTCAGAGCTCACCTCTCTCCACAGCGCATGCCCCCTCGGCCCCTCGGAACTCGCCCCTCTCTCCACAGCGCATGCCCCCTCAGTCCCTCGGAACTCACCCCTCTCTCCACAGCGCATGCCCCCTCGGCCCCTCGGAACTCACCCCTCTCTCCACAGCGCATGCCCTCTCGGTCCCTCGGAGCTCGCCCCCTCTCTCAAGAGCTGCAGCAGTTCCTCACTAATACGTAAATTGCAACATGGGAAGTTCACTCTGCCACATCAACACCTGATGGGTACATATTTCACACTTGTGGTGTTTGTTAAAAACAAAGCCCACTTTATTTATTTATTTATTTATTTATTTATTTATTTATTTATTTATGAGCCACAGAGTCAGAGAAAAAGAGAAAGGGGGTGGAAGGTATTTCCCATTGGCTAATTCACTCCTCAAATACCTGCAACAGCCACAGATGGCCCAGGGCTAGAGTGAGGAGCCAGAAACTCATCACAGATCTCCCAAAAGAGTAGCAGAACCCAAGACCTTGAACCCACTCTCCCAGGGCCTGCATCATCAGGAGCTGGATGTGGAGATGCCAGAGATGGGTGTGGAATCCAGGCACTGACATGAGATGCAGACACACCTTCGTCAGCATCCTAAGCACTGGAGCCAGTGCCTGCCCCCACACGTCCGAGTTTTGAAGACAGGGACCTTGGAATGGCATGAATAGCCACGTCGTCTGCATCCACGTGACTGTGATTTCAGCTCCTGAGGGAAAAGGGGCAGCTATGCGTGACTCACTCTGATCTGCCACAGCACGGGAGATGCAGCCGTGTGGTCAAGACTCCAGGGAGGCTGCAGAGTCCTCATAGAGGACCTCATCCACGCTCACGTCGCTGTTGTCCACTGGCACCTGTGGGCAGATCTGCTCTCGGAAAGCCAGGGCAATGGTGTAGGGCTTCCCGCCCTGCTGCAGGCAGCGTTGTAGGTAGGTGTCGTAGTAGCCCTTGCCCCTGCCCAGCCGGTGGCCGTGCCTGTCGAACCCAAGGCCCGGCATGAAGATGAGGTCAAGGCCCCCTGTGGGAAAGATGGATACATGTCAGAATGGGCCTGGCGGTAAGCTCTGTCTCTTACTGACATTATTGTGTTTTTCTCAAATTTCCAAAGTAACACCAGATATTTCAAAAGTTCATGGAGGAAAAAAATGGAATTAAGAGATTACTTAAATAAATGAGTCTACTTAGTTTGGTGCCCAAAGATTTTGACATCTATACACAGAGAAGTCTTCAGAGAGTTCATGGAAAATATGGCATCGTGGAAAAAACTATGCAGACACTTCCAAATTCTCTTTTGCACCAAAATACTTACCTTTTATTCTTCTTTGAACTTTCAGATTATGTACTAGTGAATTACTTTACTTTAAAGGAAGGGAGAGAGTGAGGTCTCCTATTCACCAGTCATTCCCTAAACAACAGCTGAGTTTTGGCCCAGCTGAAGCTAGGAGCAGCCAAGAACTCCAACCTCCGACCAGGCCTCCTGTGGAGGTGGCAGGAACCCAAGTACTTAGCCATCACCTGCTGCCTCCCAGGGTGCACACTGGCAGGAGGCTGCAATCAGAAGTGGAGCCAGGACTCCAACCCAGGCACTCTGACAGAGGATGTGGGTGCTCATCCCACACATCATCTTAACGTCTGTGCTAAATTCCACGCCCTCCACAATTCACTCCTTGAAATAACCTCATCTATGACCTCCTGTGGGAACCCACAGAGCATGGAGCTGGACCAAGAAGGACATTTGGCTCATCTGCATGAGAATGCTGCATTGCCAGGCCTTGGCCACACCAAGGCGTGCAGAAGCCTATAGACAGGGCCTGAGAACTCTGCTCTAGAACCCAGGCGATTTTGTACTTAACATATTTGGGACCAGTGTCCCAGGCTGAAAGCAGCAGGAGGAGTGGGAGACGAATACAAAGGAGCAGAAAGGACAGAGCTGTCCTCCAAGTCAGTGAGCTGGCGGGGAGTGGGGGGGCAGGCAGTTCTGCCTGCCCAGCAGGAGGGCCACCTCCCCAGGCTCACACAGCTTCTGACCCTCCCCCCAATTTTTGAAAACCCAACTACAGTGGTTGGTGTACAGGGATCCCCAGAAGAGGGCAGTGAAGGCCATGAGGTGGAGTTACCTCCCACCTTGGGTCTTAGGTCAGGGCAAGTCCCTCCGCTTGGGCACTGAGCATAAGAGCTGTCATGTGTGTAACCCAGTGGCCTGCCCTGCAGCCTCCTCCAGGTCATCCTGGTGGCTGCCAGATGACCAGCAGCTTAGCCATGGAATAACCATGCTCAGAGCACTGCTGGCAAGAGCCACCATGGTCGGAAGTGGAGCATTCTCTGGAACAGGGTGTCAGGATTAGAGAAGTGGAGACTGCCAGTGAGGCTGCCCGCCCTATCAGCAGCTGCTGATTCCTTGCAGGACGACGGGGTGAACTCATGCGCACGCCCACACACACACCTGTCAACCCTGCCTACCAAAATCCAGCATGCTCCAACATCAGTCATGACCTTCCCATGTAAGCCAATCCCAGATTGCACTGGGCACCGGGTCCTGGGTACTGGCCTCTGCCCCATCCAGCTCATCATCCTTGTCAGATGGACAGAGCACTTGGATGTGCTCCTTTCTGATGCCAACGCAGCCTCGGCTTTGAAGTTCAGCTCTGCCTCTCCCTCGCATGCCTCTCCTGGGACCCCTGCCTCTCCTATAGCATGGGGAAGTGCCACACAACACCCTGGGGAAACACACAACCCCTGTCCCACAAGAGCTGGCTCTGCAACACACACCAAACACCCAGCGCAAAGCGAGGCAGCAGTGTGCACCCATGCAGGGACTGTAGGCAGCAGCAGCACTTCTAGCACCTGGGGTCCAAGAATCAGGCTGAGAAGCAGCAGAAGCTGTGGATTTGGGGTATTCCCTATTCCCTACTATTGGGCTGGCTGAGTGTCATACCCACAGTGTACAGCTCCCTGAGGAAATTGAAAACAGAACCATAGCAGAACGTAAGATTTTAAGGTCCCAAGCAGATGTCTGCATTTCCATGATCAGGGCAGCTTGTATCTCCTTATTCCTTCACAGTGAGGAAGAGGTGGACACAGTAAAGGATCGCCAACAGCACAAAGAGAGGAAGGAACCTACACACAGGGAGTACCACCCGAGCAGAAAGAAGAAGCAAACTCCGGGCCTGGCATGATGGCTCAACGGCTAAATCCTCACCTTGCAAGTGCCAGGATCCCATGTGGGTGCTTGTTCATGTCCCAGCTGCTCTACTTCCCTTCCAGCTCCTTGCTTGTGGCCTGGGAAAGCAGTAGAGGATGGTCCAAAGCCTTGGAACCCTGTACCCACATGGGAGAGGCTCCTGGCTCCTGGCTTCGGATAGGCTCAGCTCCAGCCACTGCGGCTATTTGGGGAGTGAACCAGTGGATGGAAGATCTTTTTCTGTCTCTCCTTTCTGTAAATCTGATCTGCCTTTTCAATAAAAGTAATAATGTTTTTAAAAAAGAAGCAGCAGCAAAGTCTACCATATGCAGCAACTGAGGATACTATGCTAAGTGAAAGAAGCCAGACACAAGAGGATGAATGCTGTGACTCTGGCTAGGTGAGGTGCCTAGGGTGGGAATCCCTGCAGAGACAGGAGGAGATACAGCTGGAGGAGGCGTGGAGCTGCTGCTTCAGGTGTGCCCAAGGACTCTGGAAGATCCACCCACCAACACTGCACCTGAACTTGACATCTCACTGCACATCTCAAAGTCTCAAAGATGCAGATCTCAGACTGGGTACATCTGACAACAGTAACAACTAAAACCAAAAGACAAAGATAGGCAGAGTGAGGCTTTGGGAGACAAAAGAGGCTCCTAGCTCCTGACCAGCTCAGTTCCAGCAGCTGCGGGCACTTGGGGGAGTGAAACAGTACTGGAAGATCTTTGTCTCTCCTCCTCCCCATAAATCCACCTTTCCAATAAGAGTAAGAAAATCTTAAAAAAAAAAAAAAAAAAAAACCTTCCAGGTACATGATCAAAGAGGAGACACTAAGGGACAAGGCAGAGGAAAGCACAGCCTTGTACGGCTGCTAGTTCTACACTGCTGTGCAAGACACACGGTGGTGTTTGCCTTCTTGTAAGTGGGGCCATGATGCTCTGCTGGGCAATGGACACCCTGCCCAACAGGACTGTAACCACAGCACTCATCAGTCCAGCTCGGAGCTCCTGCTTCTGTTTTCCTGGTGAACCCAAGTGGGAAACCAAGTGAAACAAGCCTCCACTGCCCGGGTTAGTCGCTCCCTGCGCCATGTTCACTAACAAGATCGATCCTAGTTGGCTTGGTGGTGCAGCATGCTAAGCTTCTGACTGCGGCACTGACATCCCATGTGAGAGCAGGTTCAAATCCCGGCTGCTCCCCATTGGATCCAGCTCCCTACAATGTACCTGGTAAAGCAGCAGAGGATGGCTCAAGTCCTTGGGCCCCTGTACCGATGTATGAGACCTGGAGGAAGCTCCCAGATCACAGCTGCAGACAGGCCCAGCTCCAGGCCATTTGGGTAGTGTACCAGCGTATGGAAGATCTCTTTTGGTCTCGCTACTCCCTCTCTGTAACTCTGACTTTCAAGTAAAATAAATAAAGCTTTTTAAAAAATTCTCAGTAGTGGGAACAGGAGAGAAACCCTGGGCCACATCGTTCCTTATATAGTTGTGGCATGGATCTGTTTGCCAATCGCCAAAAGCTCATTAATCAAGGATGGTGACATCAGCAAAGGAACGAAAAGAGCCACCGTTCTAATTTTGCTTACTGCTATGCTCCACGGGACCCTGCGGGCAGCAGAATCCAACAGCGCCAGCAGCACTGAGATTTGCAACCTGGTGCATGCTAAGAATCCTCTGGAAGTCACAAGATTTATTCTGCAGAGTCATGTCTGCTGGGAGTTTTTCTCCAGACACTGTTACTTTCTCATACCATCTCACGCCTGAAAGTGGCAAGTCTAACTAACTTTGGGAAGACTCACTCAGTGCACACACGTGCACACACACACACATGCTGTTTGCTCACCAACACCTTGTCCTGTCTTGGGTGCTGATGATGGAACAGCAGCACCCTCTGGAGGCAGTATGGTGTGGTGCTCTGAGGCTGGGACCTAGGCCTCTTTTTTTTCCCCCATTCATTTTTATTGAATTTCACTTTATTTGAAAGGCAAAGACAACGACAGAGAAAGATATCTCCCAACCACCAGTTCACTTCGCCAAATCCCAGCAAACAGCTGGGGTTGGGCCCGGCTGGAGACAGGAGCTTGGGATGTAATTCAAATGGATTACAGGCATGTCAGCCACTGCCTGCTGCCTCCCAGGGTGCACGTTAGCAGGAAGTCAGCTCAGAAGCAGAGCAAGAACCTGAACCTAAGGCACTGCAGTAGTGGACACAGCTACCCCAAGCAGAGTCTGAACCCCATGCCCCTCAGGGCAAGCTATGCTTCGGTTTCTTCAGTTGTAAAACCGACCCATTCACAATGCAGTATATAAGGCTGATCAATGCCTCAACACGGTTCCTGCCTGCAATCATCACACTGATTGGAACAGTTCTCTTCCTTTTTAAACAAATTCCAGACATTATTTCTCAAATCAGCTAGAACGAAAACAAGGGAATCTCTTTAAGCTTTCACTATGCTGTTTCATTTATTTTTATTGTTTCCCTAATTTGAGAAACGGAGTTCCCGTCCACTGGTTCCTCCAGGACTGGGCCAGTCAGAGCAGGGAGTCAGGAACTGGAACCGGAAGCCAGGCTTCCCCAGTGGGTGGCAGGAGCCTGGCTCCTCAGGCGTCACTTCTGCCTCCCGGGGTGTGCACCAGCCAGGCAGCTGGAGCCAGGAGCCAACCCCAGCTACTGCGACGTGGAGGTCCGACATCTTACCCGCTGGCCTAAGCATCCTCTCCCTTCAAGTGATTTATTATTATTGTTATTGTTATTGTTATTATTATTATTATTGCTTGATAGTCACATTGGAAAGAGACAAAGAGAGGAAGAGATCTTTCACCTGCTGGTTCACT